CTGTCCTCTAATAAAAAGGAAGGCATCAAAGAAACAATGATATTGTGTGACGTAAGCCAGAAGAAAAAGGACAAAGATGATCTCACTTATCTGTGGTTATAAAATAATTGAATTAGGAAACACACGTATTAAAGAGGGGATGCCTAGATCACCCTGACCCCAAAGTATAGGGAAAAGAACAGAGAAGGAAAGAAATCAAGTGAAGACGTAAGAAGATGTGGGCCGGAAGTAACAGAGAGCAGGGTTCAAGGACCTCTGGTACATTGGTGGTGTAGAGGAGTGGTACAGCTCTATGTCCAGGCCTCAGAGTCAGCAACACTGAAAACATGAGATGCAATCAACAGCAGCAGAACTTCAAAATGCCAAGGTGGCAGGTTGGCAGAGTGGGTCGGGACTGGAGACACTGCTGGAGGGAAGTTGACATTGATGTTGGGATTGGTGCTAGAACGTTGTATGCCTAAAACTTAACTATGAATAACTTGGTAGAGAATGGTGCCTTTATACATTTAAAAAATAAGAAGAAGAAGAAGAAACCACTTATTTGGTAGAGGAAAACAGACTCAGTAGGTCCACGCTGCTTTGTAATTTTATTACCTTGTGCTTGTTACTGAACAGGCTCTGCCTTAGTTCACACATTTGTACCAGAGAAAAATGGAAAATGTTATCATATTCTCTTGGAAACACTTTGAGAATCAAGTGATTTCATCCTGTTATGTTTTTGCTATGAGACCTTTGCATGCACTGGTCAATCTGAGCTGCTTTTGCTGCTGCCAGCTGGGAAGTCAGCATCCTGTACAGACACCTGTCTTTAGTGTGGTGAAAGGCACAGCCTCCAGGCTAGCACTGCCATTGTCATGGAAAAATCTCTTACAGAAATAATTATAAATACTTTGGTTTATTGCCAGAGACTGAAACACACGTTTAAGCACAAATATCTATCCCTCTCTGTTTCTTTCTGTCGCTCTGCCTCTCTTTCCTCCTCTTCCTCTCTTCTCTTTCTCTCTTTCCAAACAATTGCTCTTTTCATCCAACAGCACAGAGTTTGAAAATTATTACAATGGCTCCATGAAACATATTTGTGTCTTTGTTTCTTGCTTTACTAAGAATGACTGATGAGCAGTATGAACCATCCCAAATGAGTGAGTACAAGTCAACCTGAAAATTTTTTTCCCTAAACAGAGCCTGGCAGAGCCTTCACCTGGTATTTCTGAGCAATGAACCCTAATCTGTAGGAATTCAGCTGCTGTAACAGAACTAGCAATATCCCTAAAGGATGAAGCAGAGCAGTAGGAGAGAGAGTTGGGGTGGGGTGGGGGCAAAGGGAGAGGAGGGGAAGGGTGATGTTAAGGCTCCAATTTATGTTCACACATGAAAAACAAAAGCAAAACATGAAGTGTAGGATAACACTGTTTTGTCCTTCCTCAGGTAGCTTAGGTTTATCGGGTCACACCCATCTAAGGACACTGAATTTGTATTGTAAGCAATGTCCTTTCTGTATAGACAAAGGAAGACAGTTAATATTATGCTTTGTAACTTGGGAGTTGATTGACTCCGAATAATATTTACTCCTGGGCATCTGCTTTCTTGACTCAGTTGCCCTTAGTTCCTAGCACCCCAAAAGCAGGGTCCCAACGATGGACTGAATGGACCCAGGGCAAGCTGTGAGCTACCCTAGCATCGAAATGGGCCAGGCCAAAGCACCACAATACTCAACTATAAGTTGAGGGCATGATCATGGACAAATGCTGTCATGATCCAAAAGTAAGTAACGATGAGACTAGGACCCTGCTGGAGCTAGGAAGATTAACCTGGCCTGAGGACTGCGGAATGTATAGTGAGATGTTCTCAGGAAGAACCAAACTAAGTTTATATCTCTTACTGTACTCATACAGAATGACATTGCTAGAAATATTAGAAGTAGATTTATTACAGCTATTTAAGTAGATTACTGAGGAAAGAAAACACCCGAGATCCCACCCTTGAGCAGATCTCCTAGTAATCTGGAGTAATCTCTTTAGATGAGATTTCCTTGAGTTAATCTCCTGGAGGAGTGGTCTTACCTCTCTTTGTTGATTTGTCGATATTCAACCCACCTTTATGTCACCGCCTTGCGTGATTGCTATATAAACTAAGACTGTTAGCTCGGGGAATGGAGAGTCAGAGCGAGAGGGGCTCAAGCTTGAGAGAAAGAACAGCCGTCCTGATCCAGGCCACACACAGGGCTCAAGAGCACTGAATGCAGGCAATGAGAAAGAGCCATTCAGTGAGCCCATGAACACACAAACTTTGGCGTGCTAAGATTTTACAATGAAGTTCGATGCCCTCATCTGCCTAGGTACATAGCTGACCTCAGCTGTTGAGAGTGTGGCTATGCATTAAATTGTTTCTGAAACTAATCTGTCAAATAGGGTTAAGGTTCTGAAAGAGAAAGTTGCGAGACATGAGAGGAATTTACTTACTTTGATAGGTGTCCCATCTGCCTGTTACAACCTAGGTTTTATGTGGCTGGGAACATCAGCTAATTTTTTCACCCCAAAGCAATTCTGGGGGTATATTTTAGGGCCATTACATCATGTGTTGGCATGCGATAAGAATTTTTACTGGAAAAAATAAAGCAACAAAAATGAGATCTATGTAGTATGTGTTCATTCTAGATGAACTACTGTCCATATCTTATATGCACACAGACAGTCATACACAGACTTACAGATAGCCTGCATATGTATGCATGTGTGTGTTCACACATACCCACACTCTAGCATTGTGGGATATGTGTATGTATGTATTTACCCATACATAGAGACATCTAGACACATATACTTACATCCACCTGAATAAATTTTGTGTATTAGTTATACCTTAATTCAGATAGTACTTTGCTTATCTAGATTAGATATCTGATTTATATGTTCTCATGATGCCTTTGAATTCTCTTTTATGATGATGTGATTAATACAGTCAGTGGTGCACCATTGTCCAAGCTGGCCTAGAGAGTGAGGAATTTTGCAAGATGTAGAACTAACAATGCTGAAATTTCAAAGATCTTGGCCAAATCTGGATGATGACCCATAGCCTGCCCCTCTCCAGACTATATTTCCCCTGAGGATGGGACTCTGCTCTTGTTTGCCATTGATGCCGGTAGGCCCAGATTGGACACAGAGTAGGAACTCAGGAAAAAAGCTTATTCCACCAATAAAGGAATGAATGAAAGTGTCAGTGCAAACCAAAATGTTTTCTCTTATTGATCTCTTGTCTCTCAGACTGGAGTTTCCACTTTAGCTACCAAATGTATCATTTTTTCATATTCCCTCTATTTGAGGCAGTCTAAGTGCTTTATGTTTGCCTCTCTTGTTTCCCTCCTTGTTTAGGGTTTGGAAATCTGACTGAGCTGAGAATTCATTAATTTGGTAAAAATGAAACCAGAGCTGAGAATTCATTAATTTGATAAAAATGAAACCAGAGTAGTTTGGGTCTAGATATTTAAATATTTGTTCCTATGCTTAAAAACTGTCTTATACATTTCGTGAAGAAATAAATTATAATATTCACTTCACTGTGTACTAGCATAATGCCAGGCATATAGGAAGGACTGAATAGATATTTATAGAATAGCTGAATAGTTTCTCTGCCCAGCTTTCTTATATGCAGAAGTAGATGTGGTACTCCTAACTCCCTTTTATTCCCCACCCTTTAACTGTATGTTTCCACAACTCTGTTACTTCAGAAATGGACAAGAGGATATATATCTAGGTCACTGAATGTGTGAGCCATCACTGCCTGTTCTGGGTTGTCTCCTCATAGACTTTCTTGCCACTTCCCAGGGTTTCCATGGGCAGCTACAAAACCCATTGCAGTATTTCAAACCATAAAAAATCATCTTCTTCTTACATATATGGCACTGCGCAACCCATTTCTTCGACTTTACCATTTCTTTTTATCCAACCACTTCTACTTGTCTAGACTTACTCCTCATATTCTAAAAAACCATTTACTAACCATATCACCCCTTAATCTATACCCTAGAACCCCTTCACAACTGTGTTTTTATTTTACCATCTGATGGAACAAAATCAATTCTGTTTATTCATTCCTTATCTGAACACCTCCCCCCTCCCCCGCCATGATGGAGAATATCTTGAAGAGTGCTAATTCATCTGTGTCCCCATCACCCCGTAAAGGGAGAGGGAATGCTTTAAATGATCATTATTTGTAGAGAAAGGGAATGTATCACTTGTCTATTGCTACACAAAAGCTGCATAACAATTAAATCCGAAATCTCAGTGGTCTGCCACGTAATGTCTTTGGAGTCACAGGTCTACCAGTTGGCTGAGTTCTACTGGTGATCTGTATTTGCCAGATGCTGGTGGACTAGGAGGATTTGCTGATCTTGTTTGGGCTCCCTTCTATATCTGGGACATCACATGGGACAGCTGGGCTGACTCAGGTCTGTAGCACATGTCTTTCCATCCAGAAAGCTACCCTAGGCATGCCAGTAGGGGAATGACAGTGGAGCCAAAGGAGAAATAGAAACAACCAGTCCTCTTGAGCTTTGGCCTGGAAAATTGGCAGATTGTCACTTCCTCCTCATGATATTGGCCAAAACAAACAATAAGGCTGATCCACATTCAAGGGATGGGAAAGTAGACCACCCGACTCATGTATGAGGGGCTGCAAATTTTTATACCAGAGAGGTTGATATGGGAAAGAGTTTGAATAGGGCATTTTTGTAGCCATTTTACCACAGAGAGGGGTCTGCAAGAACATATTTCTGCCATTTCTTTACAAAAATCATAACTTTTGATATTCAGACATTGATGTGAATTTGTTAGAAAGGTTTCCAGTGATAACTCTTCAGAGGGAAAGTGAGTGGCATTCCCACTGCAGAAATATTCAGTAAGAAGCCAGATTCCTTGCTTACAGAAACCCTAAGTGGTGGGTAGGGCTCATTCTGACCTTGCATTAAATTTAGTATTTTTAAATCCTGTGTCCTTCTCTTCCAGATCAGCAAGGACCCGATTTTTGTGCCAGGTGTCTGGGGCCCTTATTACTCAGCCATGGTTCCTGGCTTCTGGCTGAGTGAAGGTGGTCAGAGTGTTACTGGAAAGTTGGTAAGTAGACAGTTTCTCAGTCTGCTTTTCAACATTTTATGCTCCTGATTGATGTTTATCCCCTGACCCTTGAGTCCATTCCTGGAACAATGATTCCTACATCAAAAGAATTAATTTCTTGTTAGGGTACAGCATGGGGTGCTGAATCTAGTCCTATTTGCTAGAGGAGTTAAGATTGGTAAACAGACTATTCATAATAGCCAGAATCTAGAAACAACCCTAGTGCCGAGAACAAATGAGTGGATTTAAGAAAGTGTGGTACACAAGAACAAAAGCAACAGGTGCTGGCGTGGATGTGGCGAGAAAGGGACCCTCCTTCACTGCTGGTGGGAATGCAGGCTGGTCCAACCCTTTTGGAAAACAGTATGGACGATTCTCAAAAAATTAGAATTCGATCTCCCATTTGACCCAGCTATAGCACTCCTGGGAATATATCCCAGAGAGGCAAAAATGTATAGTCGAAGTGACATCTGCAATTGTTTGTTCATTGCAGCACTCTTTACAATAGCCAAAATCTGGAAAAAACCTGAGTGCCCGAGAACAGATGACTGGTTAAAGAAGCTTTGGTACATTTACACAATGGAGTACTATGTAGCTGTTAGAAAAGATGAAGTTATGAAATTTACATACAAGTCGTACTACATGGAAAGTATCATGTTAAGCGAAATGAGTCAGAAAGAGCGGGATAGACACAGAAAGATTGCATTCATCTGGGGAACATAAAGCAACAAAACGGGAGACTAACACCCAGGAAGGGCTCAGATTAGTACCAGGAATTTTGCTCCATGACTTGAAGGCCAGCCACATGTGCTAGGTGAGAAGGAAGCTCAGATAGAGAAGAGAGCACCAAATAAAGGGTGTTGTGAAGACCCTCCCAGGGTGGGAGAGACATGCTAAAAGTGGTCTATAGACCAAACATGACTGCCACTCAATGCCTCTCTGGCAAAACACAGTACCCAAAAGAAGAGAGAGAGAACAGGGAGGAATGCCCTGCCACAGCGGCAGGGTGGGACGGGGGGGGGGGGGGGAGGATGGGGGGTGGGAGGGATGCTAGGACCCGTGGTGGGGGAGGATGGGCACTGGTGGAGGGATGGGTACTTGATCATTGTATAACTGAAACCCAAGCACAAAAATTTATAAGTCTATAAGTGTACTTCATGGTGTTTCACTAATAAAAAAAAATGAAAAAAAAAATAAAATCATAAAAAAAAAAAGAAAGTGTGGTACATCTATACAATGGAATACTACGCAGCCACAAGGAAAAATTAAGTAATGAAATTTGCATAAGAATAGATGGACATAGAGAGTATCATGCTTAGTGAAATGAGTCAGAGAGAAAGGAACAGACATAGAATGATTAGACTCATTTGTGGGATTTAGAAAAAATATAATATGAAATTAATACTCCAAGACAGTGGAAACAAGGGCCAGGAGGAATGGTCCAGCATGGGAAGCTTGCCACAAGTGATGGTGAAGGGAGGGTATCTAGGATAGAGAGGGGACCTCTGTACCAAAAATAGTGGGAAATGAGCACTTTGGACAAGAACTGAGTGCTGGTGATAGGTAAAGTGACAAACCTTTCAGTACCTCCATTGCAAACTGTAATGCCCAAAAGAAAAGGGTGGGGGAGAGAGAGAGAGAGAGAGAGAGAGTGAGAGAGGTGGGAGGTGAGAGGAAAAGTATCTGCCATAGAGGTAAGCTGCGGGGAGGGGCGGGAGGGAAATTAGGGACATTGGTGGTGGGAACTGTACACTGGTGAAGTGATGGTTGATCAAACGTATTACTGAAACCCAGTCATGAACAACTTTGAAATTGTGTGTCTCATGGTGATTCAAGTAAAAAAATAGTGACTGCTGCCAGATAACAAAGAACTCATCTCTTTGCCTCTGGATCATATATCACCCACTTTTCTCACAGCGATTAGAGGGATATTCTACTTAATGCATAGTGCCATGTTGTTCTCTAGCCAAGACTCCAAAGCCCTTGACACATAGTTAATATAGTTTTCTTGGCATGTCCTTCTGTTTGTGATCTAGATATTCTGGTCTCATCCTTGGACTTCCCACTAAGGTTTGGTGACTCTTTTCCTAGCTTCCCCCTGGCTCACATGAATTCTACTTCTATATGCTTTTGTGTCACTATCACAAATCATCCTGTTATTCGTCGATTGCCTCGAGCAGGCCCCAGTAACGTCTCCTTCATCCTAGCCCTGAGATTATATTCAAGGCTCTTTAGGAGAATGAGACCCATCATTGTTACTGGTATTTGGCATATTGGGTACACCACAAGGAGTTTGCCAGACTCTGCCGTGTGGGCAGGCTACATTCGGTAGCCTGCCAGTTTGTCCAAAGTAGAAATGAGATAATAAGATGTCATAATAGGATGTCGTGCAGCCGCGAATGCGGTTCCGGGAGCTGGTTTTTATAGTCTCTGAGTCTTGGCCGCTGATGGGATTACACGGCGCCAGGGGGCCAGTTGGTGGGTGTGACCCCCGCCTACTGGAATTTGGAGGATCTGGGTGGAGGATGCTTGGCCCCGATCCGAGTAGGCTTGGAGATCTCGGCCCCGGAACCTGCGTGACTTTGTCCCTCTGCCAGTACCTTCATGTGTGCGGAGAGTGGTCTCAGCATGGTGGTGGCTGGTCCTGGAGGTCTTCGGCTGCCAGAGCCCTGGTCAGGGCGGGGAGGAAAGCTCAACCCACTCCCCTCCATGGGGCCCTGCGAGGACAGCCAGGTGCAGGGGCAGGAGACTGCACTGTTCTCTTCCGGGAGCTGGTTTTTTTATAGTCTTTTTTTTATAGACTATGCTTTTGTGTATGCCCTTTTTTTTCTGTTTAGAGAATTTTATAGCACCATGATCAGTTTACTGGTCCTATAAGATTCAATTCCTGTTCTTAACATGTTCCATTATTATTGTTATATTAGTTTGTCTTTTCCAGAAATCTTTGAGTCCCTTAAATGTGAGGGTTATATTATCCTTACTTCTGTAACTACCTTAGTATTCTTTGTTCATATAAAGTGCTTGATAAAAGTTATTTTTGATTCATGGACCTGTCTGATAAGAATACCAGAAAATACATAAAACCGAGAGACAGGATTTTTGCATAGACCTGAGATGACTTTTTCAGTCAGAGTTCAGAGTCCAAGAATTGGCACAATGCTTGGCTGAAACTCCTTGCAGGGTTTGAGGAGGCATTTATACTAAGCCTTAGAAGATTAATAGAGGCTATGCAAACCAATAAGGGTGGCAGTATGTTCCTAGATAGGAAAACTAGCGTGGGAACAAAGGCATGAGAATGATAAATGACAAACAGGCGTTTGAGGGTGATTGGAAGTTGTACACTCTTTTAGATGTGGCATAGACCGTTGTTTGAAGAATGACATCATAATAAAAGTTGGAGAGCTGAGCAGAGACCACATGCTATGGAATCCCTGTAAAACACGCTAAGGGCTTGAGCTGTATCTGGTAGACCAAGAAAAAGTAGTGAAAACTTGGAAGAGGAATTGACTTGATCATCTTGGCTGTAAAACAGGCCAGCAACACTAAGCAAACAGCCTACAGACGAACACTGGCAATATGAATCCATTTTGCTAGATTCATCCTGGGAGGCAAGGGTGGGGGGGGGGGCGGAGCGTGGGGGTTGAAACCACATGAGTCCTGGAGAGATAGTACAGTGGGGAAGTTGCTTTTCATGCATGAGTTTGGTCCCCAGCATGATATGCCATCCCCCAAGCTCTGCCAGGAGTAAACCCTAAGCACTGCTGTGTCCCCAAAGCTAAACAAACAAGCAAAAGGTATGAGAGCTTAAATGAGAGCTGTCGGCTGTGAAGGTTGAAAACTGAAGTCAAGAAACTGATGGTATTGGCAAGAATTACATGTGGAAGGCAAGGGAAATGGAGGCCTCCTTCACTTAATGAGCCATACGTTCCTCTGTTCTATTGAGATCATCTGGTTATGGTCTGATTTCCCTACTAAATCCTTTTAACAGTCAGCCAAAGTAAGAGTGATTTGATCCCAAACCTGAGAGGCACACAAATAATAACTGGCATTTTTCTTTTTCTTAGTATGTTGCTATTTTATACATAGCTACCTCAAATTCTCTCTCAGTGTAAGTGGAATCATAGGCGGCTGACTGGACTCAAAGAGCGTGTTCTGTGCCCTTGCTCTTGTGCCAAACTACAGAGTGGAATTAGATGGCTTAGCCAGTCCTTACCAGATCCTGATTTTAAGGGACTGACTGCCTAGCAATGAGGATCAAATAAATAGCATTGGTGATTTAGTCTTATAACCAGTGCTAGGAAAGTGAGAAGACATCAAGGTTTGCCCAAAGTGCCTGTGACTTTCCAGTCTCCTCTTCTGCGTCACACACTTGCACAACTTTCAGTGTAAATATCCAATCCCTTTCTGTATCATGTTGAAAACTTATTATTGAGCTATAGCCCTTTGAAACTCCATGTCATGGTACAGTCACCATTAGCAGACAGAGAATGCAGAGATGATACAATCAGGGGGCTTTAAAAAAAAAGAAGAAGAAGAATTATCTGGTAAACCACTCTTTGTGCATGATGCATTGTCATGAAGCTGTCCATTAACAGGTTTTCAGAGACTTAGTATGCAAATTGAACATCTGTGTCAGTCTGGAAATGCTTTCCCTAGTATTTGGCTCAAGGTTTGCTTTGTTGCTATGGATATGAGCTGCCTTCGCCCAAACATTATGACATATCTTTGTGGACGAGAATTGGTTATGCCTGCTTCCTGAGTCTAAATTTAAATTTAAAATGGGACCCCTTTTTGCCATTAATAAAATCTTCTTAAATAGTCTTCCATGGTTTTCAATAGGAGTTATGGCAATTGTTTCCTTTTATCTAATTGTTAGTTTTGCCCCATCAACCTGTCAAACTACATTTATAGTTTTGCTGTATGGAAATTATATCAGACATATATGTATATGTGTATATATGCATAGTTTAATTTGATAGAAAATCGACATGATTGATACT